CTCAAAAAACCTACTTTTACTTTTGTTGATCTTTTCTCTTGTTTTGGGGGTCTCTATTTCATTTAGTTCTGCTCTGATCTTAATTATTTCTTTCCATCTACCACCTTTTGGTTTGGAGTATTGTTGTTTTTCAAGTTCTTTGAGGTGTAGGTTGTTTATTTGTAGTCTTTCCATTTTTTTGATATAAGCATTTACTGCAATAAATTTGCCTCTTAGTACTGCTTTTGCAGTATCCCACAAGTTTTGGTATGATGTGTCTTTATTTTCATTAGTTTCTAGAAATTTTTTGATTTCCTGTTTAATTTCTTCTTGGACCCATAGGTCATTCAGGAGCCTATTATTTATTTTCCATGTATTTGTATAGCTTCCAGCATTTTGCTTATTGTTTATTTCCAGTCTTAGTCCATTGTTGTCTGAAAAGATTGTTGGAATGATTTCAGTTTTTTAAAATTTGCCGAGACTAGATTCGTGGCCTAGTCTGTGGTCTCTCCTGGAGAATGTACCATGAGCTGATGAGAAGAAAGTGCATTCTTCAGCTGTTGGGTGAAATGTTCTGTATATAACTGCCAAGTCCAGTTGGTCTAGGGTGTAGATAAAATCCTGTGTCTCTTTGTTGACTTGTTGCCTGGAAGTCCTGTCCCATACTGAGAGAGAGGTGTTCAGATCACCTACTATTAATGTATTAGGTCCTATCTCCTTCTTTAGGTCTAAGAGTGTTTGCTTGATATATCTGGGTGCTCCAGTATTGGGTACATAGATATTTATGATTGTTCTGTCTTCTAGCTGGATAGTTCTCTTTATCATTATATAATGGCCTTCTGTCTTTTTTAATGTTTTTTGGTTTAACGTCTATTTTGTCCGATAAAAGAATAGCTACTCCTGCTCGTTTTTTATTTCCATTTGCATGGTATATCTTTTTCCATCCCTTCACTTTTAGTCTATGAGTGTCTTTACAGGTGAGGTGGGTCTCTTGAAGACAGCATATACTTGGGTTTAGCTTTTTAATCCAGTCAGTTAGTCTGTGTCTTTTGTTTTTTGTTTTTTTGTTTTTTTGTTTTTATAAAGATGACCGGTAAGACGATCTTAACCCTTGGCTTGGTGTTGTCAGCACCACGCTCAGCCAGTGAGCAAACCGGCCATCCCTATATGGGATCCGAACCCAGGGCCTTGGTGTTATCAGCACTGCACTCTCCTGAGTGAGCCACGGGCCGGCCCAAGTCTGTGTCTTTTGAATGGGGAATTTAGTCCATTCACATTTAGAGTAGTTATTGGGAAGTGTTGTTTAATTCCTGTCATTTAATTGCTACTTCTTTATGTAGTTTATATATCTTTTGATCATTATTTCCCCTTTTATTTATCTTCTTCAATGTGAGTTGGGAATTTAAGGTGGAATGATTTAGTTTCTTTCTCTTTCTTGCTGGCATTTTTGTTTTAACTGTGGATTTTGCTCTTTCTTGTGTATTCATGATGGTGGTCACCATTATTCAGATTCCAGATGAATGACTCCCTTGAGAATTTCTTGCAGGGCTGGTCGTGTGGTGGTGAACTCCCACAACTTTTGTTTGTCTGGGAAATACACTATTTCTCCCTCATTTCTGAAGGAGAGCCTTGCTGCGTAAAGAATTCTTGGCTAGGGGTTTTTTTTCTTTTAGTATATTTGGAATATATCATTCCACTTTCTTCTGGCCTGTAGGATTTTGGTTGAGAAGTCTGCTGTTAGTTTGATGGGGGTTCCCCTATAAGTGACCTGACGCTTTTCTCTTGCTGATTGTAGAATTCTCTCTTTGTCTTTGAGCTTTGTGAATTTAACTATAATATATCTTGGGGAGGATCTTTTTGGGTTGAATCTGTTTGGGGACCTTTGAGCTTCCTGCATCTGAAGGTCTATATCTCACCCTACACCCTGGAAGTTTTCTGTTACAATTTCCTTGAGTAGGTTTTCAATACCTTTTCCTTTCTCCTGCCCTTCAGGAATACCCACAATTCGGATGTTAGAGCACTTGAGGTTGTCTGCTATCTCTCTTAGGTTTTCCTCATTATTTTTAATTCTTTTTCCCTTTTCTTGTCTGCCTGAGTTATTTCAAAAAGACCATCTTCAAGTTCTGAAATTCTTTCTTCTGCTTGCTCTACCCTGCTGCTCAAGCTCTCAGTTGTGTTTTTTATTTCATTGAGTGAGTCGTTTGTTTCTAGAAGTTCTGCTACACTCTTTTTTATGGTATTAATCTCTTTGTAGATTTCTTCCTTCATACTCTGGATGTTTTTTCTTGTTTCGTTGTGTTCTCTAATTGAGTCTTCCTTTATTGCTTCAAGTTTTCTTAAGATCATTGCTCAAAATTCTTTTTCAGACATTTCAAGGATTCCCTGTTGCATGCAGTCTGACTTTGGGGCATTACTGTATCCTTTCAGTGGTGTCATTTCTTCTTGATTGTTTGTACTTCTAGTACCTCTTCACTGACGCTTGGTCATTTGGTAGGGGGTTTGCTTCTTCTTTTATACTGAGGTTGGCTGGGGAGTGGCCCTGGTTGCTACTGTGGGGGGTGAATTGTCTTTGCTTGACAGTAGGTGTGGTAGTGGTTATGTTAAACCACTTTGGTTCCTGTTCGAGACCCTGTGGTTGTAGAATGAGCCCCTAGCGCCGTGGAGTTCTGCTGGGCCAAACTCAGTGGGTCAGATCCGTAGGCTGGTGTTCCCCTCTGGGTCTGAGGCACGGTGAGGGGCCACATCCAGCCACACAGTTCTGCAGGCTGGTGTTGCTGCCAGCCACTGCCGGCAGGCTCACCTGCATGGTGCCAGTTCAGGGCGTGGGGGCGGGGCCTGGAGCTCCCCCATGCCTGGGTCTGGGGCAGCGGGGTGAGGGGGCTGCGTGGAGCTGCACAGTTCCGCTGACTGGTGGTGCTGCTGGCCCCTTCCCAGAAAACCAGTGGGAGGCTCTGGCTTGGAGATTCTTTAGCCATCCATTGCTTTTGCTCCTTGCTCCAACTTGATCACCTCAGGTTTACTAATGCAGTGCCCTTCAGGGATGCAAAATTTGCCTGCAGAATCTGAGGAGCAGCATGGGGACAGTGGTAGGGCAGAAAGAACCAGAAGAAACATTCCAGAGAGATCTTTTTAAAAACCTAATCACATCATGACATTTTCCTCTTTCAAAAGCCTGTGGTGACTTCTTATATTCAGAAAAAAATTCAAACTCTTTACCAAGGCCCCAGGCCCTTCACAACCTGGTCCCTGCTCATCTCTCTGCCCTCATTTCCTGTCATTAGTGCCCTTGCTCCATCCTCTTTAGCCACATTGGTCTCCTTGCTGTTACTTGAAGCTGTCAAGTTTATTTCTACCCTCCTATTTCCTTTATTTGGCACACTGGAGTCACTGAGTATGTCATTTTCAAACTCCTCTAAGTTTTACCTAACTCATAGCAATTTATGTCATGCAAGGGGGAAAAAAGTATTGTTTTATTAACTTTCCACATGAAAGCTGAGAACAGTCACCTGGGGAACTGGTTCTAGGGGCTGGTAGATAATTTACATTGAGAAGACCACTTGTGGTTACCACACATACACTTGTAAAGGTGTCCCATCTCCACTGAAAGAATCAGGATTATCTGTATTAGAAATGAGCTCAAATGTTCTCAGACAGAAATGATAAATTTCCTCTGGCTCTTTTCCACCCATACCTGTGCCTGCTCAACATATTCTAGTGTTTTCTGAGCAGACAAACACCAGACTGGACAGTGGCCCCTAAGCTCATCTTGCCTGAGTCCCAGGTGAGCTGAGTTTTCCAGCTATTTAAGGCTGCCTGAGCATGACATCTCCCTTTCCCTGTTGCCCAAGACCCACACTGCCCAGCAGGTGGCCTGAGTCATGTTAGTTCCAGATGTTCCCCGGACAATTAGGCTGGTGTAGGGAGAATTTGGCACTTCCCAGGCTGTTTGCTGATCCCTTGGCTCCTTTCTGCCTTCTGACTTTTTTTTTTTTTTTTTTGGCAGCTGGATGGTCCAGGGATTGAACCCTGGACCTTGGTGTTATCAGCACCATACTCTAACCAATGGAGCTAACCAGTCATCCTTGCCTTCTAGTTTTTTAAAAACATCATGTACTGTTATTCCTTAAGTGCCTGGCCTGCCATGCAGCTCATAGCCAGGTGGTCAGGATGCTTCTGAACTGGCAATTACTGAGCAGAAGTCCTTTCTCTTCTTTAGAGCTTGTTGACATTTGAAGAGGTGGCCATGTATTTTTCCCAGGAAGAAAAGGCCTTCTACAATGATGTAATGCAGGAAAATTATAAGACTGTCATCTTTCTAGGTAAAGATTCTCCTTTCCCTGTGTGTAGAAGTTGAGTAATCTGTCCTGTTCTCAGCTTAACATGAATAAACCCTTGTGAGAGAGGCTCATTGTTCTAGAAGCTGGTTGGTTCTAAGGTACTTGGTGGGAGAGAGGGAGAAGGTGTATCCAGATCACCTGGGAAGTTTTTTCCAAATGCACATGCTCACTCCTTATCCTACGTAGAATTCTTGATCCCTTCTCTCTCTCTTCCCCCAAACCTGATCTTTTATATCTTTCCTCAGTAAAGGACACCATTACCCTGTTGGTCAGGGCAGAAAACATATAGTTATCCTTTTACTCTGATCTTGCCATCATACCCCACTGTTAATCCACTAGAAGTTGTCTTAGCTCCATTGTATCCTGAGTCAAACTACATCTCAACCTCTTGCACTGTTAGCATCCTGGTCTAAGCCAGCATCATCTTGAACTAGATGTACTTCAATAGCTTTCTAATGGGCACCCCTGCCTCCACTCCTGCCCTCTCACAGTCTATTTTCCACCCAGCAGCCAGAGTGATCTTTTAAAAACCTAATGATGTTATGATATTCCCAGCTTCAAAAAGCCTGTGGTGACTTCTTATATTTAGAAAAAGTCTAAACTCCTTACCAAGGCCCCAGGACCCTTCAGGATCTGGTCTCTGTTCACCTCTCTGCCCTCATCTCCTGTCATCCTCTCCAGCCACACTAGTCTTCTTGCTGCCATGCTCATTTCTATTTTCCTTTGACTGGCACACTTTTCTGCCAGAAACTCTCACTTTCAGGTTTCTACTTAAATATTACTTTCTCAAAGAGGCCTTCCACATGACCTTATGTAAAAAGCTTCACAGAAGTAGAATCTTAAAATGTTCTTATCATACTTTAGTTTTCCTCAGAATATTTCTCCCTCCTGACATTATTTTATATCTTTATTGATTGATTGTCTTACTCCCCCATGAGAATGTAAGCTCCATGAAATCAAAAGACTTTGTCATCTCTATATCCTTAGCTCATAGATCCATGCCAAGCACACCATAGCCACTCAGCACATGTTGATTGGAAGAAAGTGATAAATACTGCTCATACCTGGCAATGTGTATTTAGAAAAAGTCTACCAAGTGATTTTGGTCTGTTTCCTCTATCTGGATGTCAACCTGTGATTCATAGGAGCAGTAGAAATCTATCCCAGTCCAGGGCCTGGTGCTAAAATAAGTAAAATAATAAAAAATAAAATAAACACAAGCTAGGTAAAAAGTAACTATAGCTATTATAGCAATCACTTGTGCCTATAGTACCCAACCCACTGTCCTTCACATGGGCTCTGTAGTACCTGGTTTTATCCGGGATGAGTCTTCTTAAAGAATTAAAAGGACCCATCTGTATTCCTTGCAACCTCTGCAGCTTGGTTCTCCTTTGGTCGAACATGGGGTATTCTTGTTGGCAAAAGAGGGAGAACATGCACTAGATTTTCATTCCCTATATCCTTTTCATTGATTGGCCTTTCTTTGGTTTATTTCTTAGTCTCTGCTTTGCATATCCACCCATAAGTGCAGTATATTATAAATATGATGCTGGATCTGGGAGTCTGTCCATTTAACCATTTGGGGTAACAAACTATAAAAGTGTCTTCTGCTCTTCTTGAAAGTCTGGAATTATTGGATCAGTTCACTGTTCAGTTACCAGTCTTTGACCTCAGTTTTTTCATTTCTCAGCATTGTTTGTGCTCCCCAAACCTAAAGTGATCTCCTGTCTAGAGCAAGGGGAAGAGCCATGGGTTCAAGGATCCCTGGAGTCCAAGGACAGTCCTGGAGAGTCTCCTACAGGTAAATGCACCATGGGAAGAGGAGACATGTGCCTTGATAAACCTTTGCAAGGGTTTAATGTTCCAAGATTCTGCTTCTCTGTTTTTTTTACAATCAATCATTGAATTTTTCTTTCTATTCCTGTGGTTTTCTTTTTCTGGAATGCAGATGGCTAATTCTTATGTTTCTTCCAACAGGGTTAACACTCAAAAATGATACAGAAAACCATCAGCGTATAACTCTTTCTGACTTAGAAATACAAGCACCAGGAGACGTAGTATCCAAAAAGGCCAAAGTGAAAGTCCCCCAGAAAACAACGGGCAAAGAAAATCATGGTGATATGCACAGAGTAGGAAAATGGCGCCGAGATTTCCCAGCAAAGAAAAGAAGGAAACTTTCAACCTGGAAACAAGAGCTGCTGAAACTTATGGATCTTCACAGGAAAGACCGTGCAGGAGAGAAGCCTTTTAAGTGTCAGGAATGTGGGAAAAGCTTCAGAGTTAGCTCTGACCTTATTAAGCACCAAAGAATTCACACTGAAGAGAAACCCTATAAATGTCAACAGTGTGACAAGAGATTTAGATGGAGTTCAGATCTTAATAAGCACTTAACAACACACCAGGGAATAAAACCATATAAATGTTCATGGTGTGGGAAAAGCTTCAGTCAAAATACAAATCTCCACACGCACCAAAGGACTCACACAGGAGAGAAGCCCTTTACGTGTCATGAATGTGGAAAAAAATTTAGTCAGAACTCCCACCTTATTAAACACCGGAGAACCCACACAGGTGAGCAGCCTTATACCTGCAGTGTCTGCAGAAGAAACTTCAGCAGGCGGTCAAGTCTTCTTAGACACCAGAAACTCCACCAATGAAGGGAAGCTTATCCCATCTCATTCTGAAGAAATTTACCGAAAGGAGCTTGACCCTAAAATTAATGAAAAAATATAAAGTCACAAAGTTTGAAGAACTTTTCATAATTGGAAAATTTGGGGGTATAAACATGTTTCACAGGAAGAACTCAAGGCTGGCTCTGCAGAGGGTGTGTGAGTAGTTGTACTACTTACTCTTTTTACTTTTAACTGCCAGGGAATCCCTTAGCTGGGGAGGTATTCTAAGAGCATGCTGAATAGAGAAAAGGCTGTTTGGGAATTGTACCTGGAAAAACAGTAAATTCAGCTTCAAATACCAGATACAGTCAATCAGCAGTCTTCTGTAGTCACAGAAGTAAATATTGTTGGTTTTGCATCTCCCCAATCATTCTTGAATACACAGTAGAAACATTTGTAGCATGGTCTTCCAAGATGAAAAACAGTACATGCATGTTTAATTGCATACCATTGTCCTCAGGGTAGCAGGCTTATATCAGTAGTCCTGTGGAGTAGAAGTGAATTCTAATGTAAAGTTTTCCTAGAACCAAATTGGATTTTCTTCCTTTCTCTCATCATTCACAAAGTTGGACATCATTTGAGTTCCTTCTTGAACTTTTAGCAATTTCAGCTCTTGAGTCCTTTTAGTACAATTTTTACTGTGATGAAATCATATTTACTTCACCACTAGGGAATCTGCCAGATGAGCTAATAATGCACTATCTTATGCCTCATTGGTGGTTTTTGGAAAATGGAAAATATCTCTAATGAGATCGTATGGAAACGGGTATTTGAAATTTATAGTGACAATATATATATATAGATATATTACATATGTAAAATAGGTGTAAAGAAGAGTTTTCTGCAATAAAAGAAACTAGACTGTTTTTTACCTCACTATGTCAAAAGGATAAAGCAGCCATAAAAGTTAGCACTTGCCCGAGGCCAGAAAGGAAATGGGAGTTCAGGATCAACTGAACTCAACAGTTTTTTGTTTACTTTTTAATTTGGCTTTTGTTTGTTAATAAGAACGAGAGAGTAAAGTTTGTGTGGTAACTGGAGTGTGTGTGTGCTGCAGGCAGGATCCTGTGGCTCTCCTGGCATGGAGACCCAGGCCTCCATTCAGCAGGAAACCAGATTCCCAACAGGAAAGATTTGGGAACTGATGCTGAGTGTTGAGCAAGGATGGGAACATCCACATCCATGCTATTTTGTCTTACACTGTAAGCTCTTAAGCGGGCAGGGTCTACCTGTCTCCTTCCTCTCCAGCACAGCATTTAATAGCATCAGGTGATAAATTTGGTAGACTGCTAAAAGTCTGTGTAGCCTATGGATTTTCTTATAACTCACCTGTTTAGCTACAGCAGTGACTCAGGTGTGTTCCTGTTAGAGCTTTTAGATATATCAGGAAAGGGGTTAACAAAGTTCTCTCTTCCAAATCTTTTGTTGTATAAATGAGGAAGTTAAGGCTCAAAGAGTTACAGGGACTTGGCTGTTGCTCAGCTTCATCAGTCAGGTGTGCAGGCAGGATCAGCAGTAGCTGTGTTGTCAGTGTGCATTGCTTTTCCTTCCCCTCCTCCCCAGCGATATGTTGGGCTGACTGACTGCATTGAAGAAGCAGGTGCCATTTGTGGCTGTGTTGCAGCTCCACTTGGCTGAGCACTGATGGCAGTGGTGGTTATGCTGAGTTGATATGATCCTTGGCTCTGATACTTTATCGTGTAAGTCATAAGAGCCACTGGAGCGGTTGGTCTGGAGCACCTGGCAGCAATTTTATTTTATCTCCCAAGGTAAATTATACCCAGTATTTTTTTTTTTTTTTTTTTTCTTTTTCCGGGCCCGTCAACGGATCGCAACCCTCAGTGTTGCCCCCGTACCGGACCGGGGACCGGCAACGGAATTGCACCCCTCGGCGTTGCTCCCGCGCCTCGCTCAGCCAGTGAGCGGGAACCGGTCTGTATGTGGGATCCGAACCCTCAGGCGGGAGCGCCGCCGCGCTTCCCAAGCAGCGCACTATCCAGTGCGCCACCCGGCCGGCCCCTCCCCGGCAATGCATTTTA